TTTTGGTCGTTTTGGAATAAACTCAGGGCTGAAAAAAAAAAAAAAAATCCCTCTGCAGAGCCAGAGTCTGCAATGGCTTCTGTGGCTGCCAGTGTCTAACAGTAAACAGCCCCACTGCATTTGTTGGCAATTACTGCTGAAGGTCACACATCAGCAGTGAGCCTAAATTCCAGGAAAAAAAAAAAAAAAAAAAGCAGCTCTTATGTAACGGCCGCCTGAATGTTGGCAGCTGTCCAACTCAGCAGTTCACAGAAAAGTGAAAAAGTAGGGCACCTCCGCCCTGGATTGGATGTCATGAGAACGCCCCCTGAAGGTGAGAAGGTGTAATTCTGTGCTTCTCTTCAGGCACCCGCCAGCCCTTTGCCTCTCTGGGTTTTACAGAAGGCCTGCCAGGGCATCCCTTTTCTTGGGGAAAACCAAGCCCCTGCTGTTGAGTTGATTCCAACTTAAAGTGACCCTTTGATGGGCTTCAAGGCTGTAAATCTACAGGAGTGAGAGCCTCATCCCTCTCCCGGGCGTGGCTGGTGGGTCTGAACAGCCATCCTTGCGGCTGTTCACAGTCCAGCACCTGTCACCCACTGCACCACCAGGTCTCCTCTGTGTTGGAGAAGCAGCTCCGGACGGGAGAAACTGGGGTGTCCATACAAGCAGACTGCAGCCACCAGGAACAACGGGAGGTGCTCGTCGGGGAGGTAAACGAAGTGTAATCACTAGCTGCCCCTAGTAATACTGGATTTCAGGGTTCCAAGTGGTAGTGATTAAAGGGGGCTTTCATCGCTAACATGAGGACATTAGACATGACCACTGAACCACAGCACACACTTTTTACACACAACTTTGCTTTCCAAGGACACGAGCACAAAAACAAGGTGGGCCACCACCCACCCCCGCTGAGTGGCCGGCCGCCTGCCTTCAACATCATCCCTCGCCCAGCATAACCCGCCAGTCTAGAAACGGCTGCTGTCCGTTCTGAAGCAAGGCAGCGTGTGCGTGTCAGAAGGGAACCGTGCTCCATGAACTTCCCAACAGCTGTGTTGTCAGAAGTATATCCTCAGGTCTTTCCCTGGAGGTGCCTCTGGGTGGACTCAAACCTGCAGCCTACGTGGAGTGGTTGCACCATTCAGGGATGACAGTTTAGAAAAGGGATTCATGAGCAGTACCTGTTGCTGCTATCAGCCCAAGTTTCCTGATGCTGCCATGCAAGCAAAAGTTCCCTGGGCACCATGTGATTCCCCTTCCTAACACATCTCCTGGTTTTCACTTTATGTTCATTTGACTCTGTGTCCCCCCCCCCCCCCAACTGCACGCTCCAGAATGCAGGCCCTGTGCCTGCGTGGGACACCACTGTATCCAAAGCCCTGAGTGCTGTGCCTTGGATGTCACAGGCGCTCGCATTGTCCTCACCCACATGAATGTCTTTGCCATCAGCCAGTGTCAGCTTAGAGCCCCAAATGGGGAGCTATGGAAGCTCTCAGGGGTGTCAGAAACGTTTTGTGCCTTGATGTGGGTGGTGGATGCATAGGCGTCCATGTATGACACAATTCATCGAGCTAAAGGCAGGGCTGAAAGGACACTCCTGCAAGCTGTTCTTGTCTGTCCTTCACCTCATCTGTGACCCCCCCCCCAAACAAAACAAAAACAAAAACAGAAAAGGGGAAATCAGGAGATAAGGATGGAGACACGACCACTTTACTTGCAACCCCCCTCCTCTTCCTGGTTTCAGAAGCAATTGTTCCAGAAGACAGCTGGGGAGGCCCTGCAGCACGCACTGTGCCTGCACGGAATCTCTGGTTTTGTCCTCATTTCACCTGCCTTCCTGAGCTTCCGGACAGGGACTGGGCAGCGTTATGCCCTTCCACTCCTGGCACCTTCTCTCTCCTCTCTCTCTCTCTCTCTGTGCCACTGGCCTTCCTCATCAATGGGCAGGAGCCCTTCTCCCATCAGGGGTCAAGAGGGCACCCGAGATGGCTCGCGGGGTCTGAGGGGCTCTTTGCCATCATGTTTGGAATTCAGAGCACTGCCCACCATGTGGGTGTGAGGCCTTGCCTGTAGCCTTGCCAGCATGAACTCCTTAGGTTTCTGCAGAACTCCAGCTGTGGGCTGCCGGGTTCCAGGAGCACATGCTGACAGAAATGCTTGTGGGAGAAGAAACCGCAGGAACTGCGTAGTTTCCAGAACAGCCATCGTGATAGAAGGCAAGCAGGCATCTCTGCTGAGGGCTGCAGCACATTCAATAGCCCTCGGGCTGAGAGACAGGGCTTTGGTGTCCCAGGGCTTTGACTGTTGCTAAGGGTAACAACGAGGAGGGGATCCACAGTTGCTTCCTCAGGGAATTTTCAAAGAATCCAAGTGGCTGCCAGAACCTTCTCCTTTTATAAACAGACAGTATTCAATTTCCTAGAGTATAATTATAAACACACCTGCTCCAACTGTGGAATCTTTCCATAAGCAAGCAATAAACTCCCAGCTAGGAGACCCAAGTTCTATCTTGAGCAAACAAACACATCAACTGATTACTAGGGTGCAAAACAGTGTTATTAATAGCAATGCAGACTCTGTTCCGATTAGGAAAGGCTTTCCTTTTCCACCTTAGTTTGTTCTTAAGCAAAGAGAAATGTAGCCTCAATATTTCACATTCGTTTAATCCGCCAGGCATTCACACTTCAGGTAGGAAAAGGATGCCAGTGTGTATACTGAGCATACGTCTCAGTTCTCTAGTGCTGCTATCACAGAAATGCCACAATGATAGGGCTTTAATAAACAGTGTAGGAGGCTAGAGGTCTGAATCCAGGGAGCTGGCTTTAAGCGAAGGCTTCTCTCTGTCTCGGCTCAGAGGGAATCTTTGTTTCTTTTTCTGCTCTTCCACTCCTAGGGGATCTCCACCTGGCTGGGTCTCTCTTTGGCCCCATCCTGGCTGCTGGCTACTTTATATCTTAGATATCTCAAAAGAGGATACACCCTAGACAATAGGTTCTCCAACTTATTTGGCCTATTTCCCCATTTTCAGAGGACAACAAATTACTTACAGCCCCCACTGGCAATGAAAAACTTTTATCCTATAGCCCCATGGGTCTCAAACTTCCTAATGTCGTGACCCTTTAATACAGTTCCTCATGTTGTGGTGATCCCCCAACCATAAAATTATTTTTTTTGCTAAAAATAATTTTTGCTGCTACTTCATAACTGTGATTTTACTACTGTTATGAATCGGGCGACCCCTGTGAAAGAGGATCGTTCAACTCCCAAAGGGATTGAGACCCACAGGTTGAGAACTGTTGCTATAGTCCATAACCCAGAATAGGGTGTAGACATGTTTTTGCATCCCCCCCACCATGCCCCCAGTGTTCCAGTGGCCCCCAGAATGCGATATTTATGATTTTAGGGAACCAGGCCCTTTACTAATCCTGCCCAATGCACACAACAGAGAACCCATGCCCAAATGGAATTTTAACCCTAAGCATAGAGTTGAGAATTCCTAACACCTCTTTTTGGAAGACACGGTTCAGTCAGTAACAGCACAGTATGCACTCTGCGGGGCACACCAATCGCCTAGAAGCCCGGAACAGCAAAGATCACCGAAGTTAACGGAATTACCCAAGTCTTTTGTCCTTGTCATCTTCTATTAGAAGCCTGACTTCCGTTCCAGTTCATGCCCAACTAACATAAGGAGAGTTCCGTGTTTGCAGAATTTGCTGCGATAGATCAATCATCAAGTACACCCAGGAGCTGAGGAGCGAGGATTAGTCCGAATTTAGCCGTGAGCCAGCTGTGCAGGCCAGGAGCAGTCACTGCATCTCGGTGAGCGCCATTTCCGAGCCCAACCTATTGCCACTCCATTGCTTTCTGTTTTAACTGTTTAAGTGCCTACACTATGCCTTCGTATTTCTGGTGTCACAGTGGCAGGTACTGAGTGGACATGATATCCTATCTGGTAGCTATGTCCTACCCCAAAGAAGGTATTATGAGTTGGCCTGCCAAAACAAAGCAGCAGGAGAGGAAAAAACAAAACAAATAAACAACTCACTGTCACCAAGTAGATTCTGAATCACAGCAACCGTATAGGACAGAGTAGAACTGTCCCTGTGGGTTCCTGGGGCTATAAAGTCTTTATGGAAGCAGAAATCCTCTTCTTCCTTCCCCTAAGCAACTGGCGGGGCTGGTGAGTTTGAACCACTGACCTTGCTGCTAGCAGTCCAATGCTGAGTCCACTATGCCTCCAGGGCCCCTTAGACCCAAAAAGTGAATTTTAAAACTCATATAAAATTCATTTTCCAACCTGTTCAATCTGCCAACCAATCAAACAGCCTCAATTACGTACAGTCTTCATTCCCAAATCAACTAACAAAAATGCTCTGGTGCCATTTACCTGGCAATGCACCCTGAAAACATGAAAAGGGATGTTGACGTGCATTCACCAAAGAGGTGATACGAATTGAAGTGACATGTATGTGAGGCCTGAGAACGGAAATCATGGAATTAGGTTTCCGTGTTTGGATCTACAGACAGATCTCCTAGAATCAAAGCTATGGATGAAGTACATCCCCAGTCCCATGGGTGGGCCTGCAGCTGGGCATCTTAGAATCCACAGGGCACTTTGGCAGCAGTCTAAAAGGCCATCCACACTCAGTATGTGTTGGCCTGCAGCAGAGTGTAGCAGCGTTTCTGCTACCGCCAAAGTGGCCCAGTTCAGTGTGCATTTCCCGTGCATTACATACAGATAGAGAAACTCGACACAAGCCGGTTTCAGAGCTATGACCGGCAACAACCACAAATTCAGTTGAGATTCTAGACAGGGACTGATTGAAAACTCTCTCTAGCTGCAGATGGGATCTCAGAGGGCACACAGAGCAAACACACGCATGGGAAATGCTAACACAGACAGGTATCCCGGGAGGTATGCCAGACAGTCACACACGAGGAGACACTGTGGAGACCAGAAGACCAGGAGAGGGTCATGGGCACACCACCATGGGACATTAAGAAAAAAAGGAAATTAGGACCTCAGCATTATCCAATTCATCAAGGGAAATTAGCTGGAAGAGAGAAAAGAAGGAGAGAAAAAAGAGGAGAGGTTAGGAAGCCAGCCGAGCGTTATAACTGTCACATATATATTACTATTCTTGACTCTCTCCGGTTAAAGCATTGTTCAATGGTGACCAGCTACTTAAAGGGCTCAGGAGGTACACAGTGACATCCGAGAGCAGAAGTCTTCAGTGGGACAAACAGGCGGGAGGCAGCTACATAACGGAACCCCAGGGCCAGCACTGCGCCCTCACGCTCTCCCACAGGCATGAAAGTAAACTCACCGGCTGGTGAGCAAGGGCAGTATCCCACACAAGGACCATCGTTTCTGAGAAGAGGGTGGGACAACTAAAGAACCCACTGAGAATAGGGCAAGGTCTTCCTTTCCTCCAATATTTGATTCCATGGTAGTCTGAAATGCAGGCTCCCCTCCAGCTGGGCTACATCAGAGGCAGCTTCTACTGCGGAAAGTGCTAAGGCCGACACAGAAACCACTGTCCTTGTTCTATGCCGTCAAGTAGACTCTGACTCAAAGCAGCATCCAAAGATTAGAAGCCTAATCCTGCTGCTGCTGGTGAAGAAAAGAAGCCACGTTCTTCCCCTATGGTGATTAGCGCTATTATGGGCTTAGTAACAAGTAAAGGGATTTTCTAGCCTCAAGTCCAAGAAAAACAAACGAACAAGGACTGACCACAAGTATGCTTGTTAAGGGAAGAGAGAGGTGATTCTTAACTGATGTTTATTATGCATCGTTACTATTTAGTCCATTTGGCAAATTTAAGTTCCTATCAGCAACACTAGTCCTGGGTGGGGGGGAGGGAAAGCACTGGAAATCAGCAGGGTTGGATGCGGTGATGCTGCAATTCCTTCAGGACTGGGGCAGTCAATCCTGGCCCTCCCCTGGGGGAGGGGTCTGTTAGTCATGGGACAAGTTCCAGTTTAACAGCTAATCTATAGGAAAATCAGGATACTTGCTCTGTGTCCTTGGCCCCAAGAACCTCATTTACTTTATCAATTCCAGCCAACTGGTTTGCTGGAGACAGGTTTGTGCCTTAGCTTGGTGGTTTCCACCTTGAAGAAGTTAGCTTGCCCTGTATGTCATGCTTCTTCCGTCAAATAGGGACAGCAAGTAAACCACCGACAGCATCTTCAAAAGCCTTTGTGAATCCTAAGTGCCAGTCTGAGAGGAATAAGAATTGTTTTTAAAGTCCAGCTGATGTGAATGGTGAACCAGCATTTCCCAACAGTCAAAGCATTGAGCCAGGAGCACGGCCGGTGTTTGCTTTAGGGGTTTGGAGCTACTGACTAGCATGCCATCTGACAAGGTCTTCCTGGTCCGTTCTCAGACTCACCTATGGTACTTCAGCTTTCATCAAGAGAGAAGGGCAGTCCCCACCACTCTGGAAAGAAAAGCCATCTTTCCTCCAAGCTTCTCTGGCTTGAGTGTGGCTCATTTCTTCCCTCGCTCAAGTGGGACTTGACTGAGGGCTCTAGAAATCATTCTGAATGTTGGCGATTGACTTCCTCCTTCATGATGGTCTTCAGCTTTGGCCGTAAGTGCCCGGTCTCTGTCATCTCTCGAGCTTTCTAGCAGGCAAGAGCTCAATGTTCTCTTAGCTGGCATTATGGGTGGGGAAAGGGCACAGCGTAGCAAACTTCCCAGAGGTCCTAACACCCTGAGAAGCACTAACAGCCAGCAACAGAGACTCAGTGAACTCTTAACAATTCTACTTTCCATCTTACAGGGAGAAAGCTGAAGGGGAACGATGATACATTTCTACAGCATACAAGCATGCTTATTTAAGAAATAAGGTTTCTATACTAATTTGTAATATTTGCCAGAAGTGGAGCAGAGACAACACAAGAATACCCTCCTCAGAAAGTGTTCACTTTAAATGCAAAGGGGTTTCAGAAAGTCCATAGGAAAATGGAAATGACAGGTACAAGGATTTTTCCCCCCACAAACTTTTTGAAACTCCCTTGTGCATTGGTTATGGAAAGGAGCTGAGTCTCAAAAAGAGAAAATAATGACCTCTATCTTTTAAAATTCTATTTGAGGCCCCACAGGGGCAAAGAGAGCCAAGTCTCTTTGGTAGATTGCATTTTAATGGGAACAGTGACCTTCTGTACTAGAATCATCGTTTTAAAACATTTCTTTTTCTGCTTGAATGAGCTTACGAAATGTTTTAAAATAAAGATTTTGTGAAACAAATGGTTATATTTTATTTGCTTGGCAAGTATATTCCTTTGAACAAATACTCTCATCCCGTACCACCTTCTCTTCTCTCCCTGTCTCTCTTAAGCAAAACCTAGGTAGGTACCTATACCAGGAAAAGGTCACCTGGTTACGTTGCATCTGTATCAGGGTGTCTTCCAGTTGGTTTCAACTCATGGGAACCTCCTACACAACTGAAGGAAATACTGCCTGGCTGGCCCTGCGTCATCCTTCCAAACATTACTATGTTCGACTCTATTATCGTACCCACTTTGTACATATATGTCATTGAAGTTCTGCCTCTCTCCCTCTGGCCCTTTAACAGGCATGGAGCTCGTCTCCAGGGACTTGACCATCCCAATAACATGTCCAAAGTACATGAGATGAAGTCTCACCATTCTTGCTTCTACAGAACAGTTTGGTTGTAGTCTTGCCAAGACAAATTTGTTCAATCTTCTGGCAACCTTTGGTACCTTCACGACCATGGCTTGGGGCAGGCACATTTTAGTCCCTACAGGCACATTTTTGTTTTTGAACACTTTAAAGAGATCTTTTGCAGTAGATTTGCCCAATGCAATATGTCATTTGATTTCTTGTTGCTGCTTCTATGGCATTGATTGTGGATCCAAGAAAAGTAGAATCCTTGACAATTTCAATTTTTTGTTTATCATGATGTTTTACTATTGGTCCAATTGTAAGGATTTGGGCTTTTAAAAATATTGCACTGTACTCCAAATTGAAGGCTGTCCTTTTTGCTCTCCATCAGTAAGTACTTCAAGTCCTCTTAGCTATCAGCACGCAAGGTTTGGTCCTCTGTCAGTCACAGGTTGTTCATGAGTCTGCCTCCAATCTTGATACGATGCTCTTTTTCATACAGCCCAGCCTCTCTCTCTTGATTTGTTAGGTTACAGACTGAATATGTATGGTGAAAGGATACCCTTCCCGATTTTAAACCACCCCTGTTCTGTTCAACTGGCTGCGTCTTGGTCTATGTACAGGTCTGCATAAGCAGAATCCCCATTATTTGCAGTGTTATCCATAATTTGTTAGGGCACACAGAATGAATGCTTTTGCCTAGTCAAATATCTCTGTGAATGCTCTGCTTTCAGCTAAGATCCACCTGATGTAGGCAAGACCAGTTGTTCCATGTCTCCTTCTGAATCTGGCTCGAATTTCTGGCAGCTCACTGTCAATGTACTGCTACATCCATTTTAAAATTACATCCAGCATAATTTTACTTATGTGCGATATGAATGATATTGTTAGATAATTTTCCCATTCTGTTGGATCACCTGTGTTTGGAATGGGCACAAATACGAATCTCTTCTAGTCAGTTAGACAAATAACTGCTTTCCAAGTCTTAGCACAACTAAGTTAGTGCTTCCAGCATTTACATCCATTTGTTGAAACACCTCAATTGGTATTCCATCAATTCTTAGAACCTTGTGGTTCACCAGTGTCTTCAGGGTAGCTTAGACATCTTCCTTCAGTACCATCAATTCTGAGCAGAGGCTACCTCTGAAATGGTTGAATGCTGATCAGTTCTCCTTGGTACAGTAACTGTAATTCTCCCATCTTCTTCTGATGCTTCCTACACCATCCAACATTTTGCCTCTGAATCCTTCAACATTGCAACATGAGATTTGAATTTTTATTCAATTATTTTAGCTTGAGATCAGCTGAGCGTGTTCTTCCTTTGGGGGAATGTCTTTTTATATCTTGGTATAATACTTTACTTTGTCTTCTCTACCCACCCTTTGAAATCTTCTGCACCAGTGTTCTTTGCTTGTATTATTTCCATTTATAAAATCTTCCCTGATTTTATACACACAGTTTCCTCCACAAAGTTCCCACTAAGGAACTTGTTCTCTAATTAGTCAACATTCAATCATTGTTTAATTTGTGGACTTAAATGAGAAGATTGACAGTTAAAATCCTTGTGCTTTAGGGACAGTGGAAGGAATATGTACCGCAATGAGGATTCTGTATTTTTCTTCCTTTTTTTAATCTAAGACTTCTCCTACGCTGAACTGCTCTAACACTAAGAAGAAATATCACGCATGGTAAAAGCAAGACTTCTATATGTGCAATAACCTGGTTTTCACCATTCTCTTGTACCAGGAAAGCTGTGGTTTACTTATCAAGGGTTTGTCAGAGAGTGGAGTAAATGAGTTATTGGGAATTCTGAGATATCTGTGTGCTTATCTAGTTAGAAGGATGGCAAAAAAAAAAACAAAAAAAACCTGAGAAGCAATTCTTAGGTTCAAATGCAAACGTGTGTAGTATGAATGTAAATTCACCATAACAGGCTCTTAATTTTGCTGGGAGCAGAGAGGTGAGGCCACGGGCTTGCCTTTGTCCCACTGTCACCCAATCCTGGGTGTTAGCAGCACCTGTGCACGTCCTTGCTCACTGCACGTGCGCAGAGGTGTCAGGTCGCAGGGCTGTGAGTTTCACAATCTCAATTAGAAGTGGTTACGTGCCGCCCTGCCTTCATTCCACTTAGAACTGGAGGCAGTTTCTGGACCCACAAGGAGGATTGTGCAACATCGTACCTAAAAGCAGAAGTGAGTAAACCCACAAGTATGCTGACCTGGAACCCCAAACTCAAGAATGCATACTGTCCCATGCAAGAGGACTCTGCATTTTCATTGGAAATTGATACAGACGGAAAATCGTGTGATTACTTTTTCTCTGATATTACATATTAGCTAATGTGGCAAGCAGTCTATAAGACAGGACTAAGTATTTCTGACTTTCAACGGAGTACGATTTAGTTACCTTTAGGGGCAGGATAAAGGGCTTTTCAAAGAAAAGTAAACCTCTCCATCAACAATAAGTGGACTCTGAGGCACCACTTCAGCTTCATGGTAAAACAGGGCTTTCACTCAAAACCAGAAAAGTGGTACCTTTTCTCCATAGCCTCTGTCTTTGGTCATCATCTCTCGGAGGGTCTGAAGCACCTTGATGCAGAGTTTCTCCTCATTTTCTTCGAGCAGCTGTTTGGTATGCTTTATTAACCTGGGAGGGAGGGGACCGCGGATGATATACCTGACATTGCCCTCACGTCTTGAAAACTTCGCAAGCCACTTATGTTTGGCATCTAGTCAATGGACAAAAATCCGTTACAGGTTCCCAGGATAAATGTTCTTTAGGACAGTCGCAGAACTGAGGCCACTCAATGACTGTCTCAATAGTGACACCTGCTGGTCTGTAGCAGCAAACACAAACACCCAACTGCTACTGAGAACTGGCCCTGTGGGTTTTGGGGACTGTAACTCTTTAAAGGAGTAGAAAAATCTCATTTTTCTCCCTCAGAGCAGGGACTGGTGGTTTCGAACTGCTGACCTTGTGATTAGCAGCCCGACAATCACTACACCACGAGGGCTCCTTCCACCACATACAACCTCACTACCATTGCGCCTATGCCGACTCAGAGATCCCGGTGGGTCTGCAGTTCAAAACCACCAGCTGTCATGTGGGAGAAAGACAGAGCTTCCTGCTCCAGTAAAGACATACAATCTTAGAAGCTCACCGGGGTAGCTTTACCCGGTCCTAAAGGCACCATATACAATGGAGAAGAGGGAGGAGTCAGAGGGCCACCCAAACCTGTCACTTAAAAAGTATGGCTACTTATCCACTGAGAATTGCTAGGGACATGGAAAAATTATGCCAGTCATGTGGGGGGGGAAATACAAAAACTTCCTGAGGATGGGGCAGAAACATAGTTTCCCTATCCACAGATGAATGCTTAGAAGGGTCCAGAAAATAATGAAATTGTTGCAAAGCAAACAAATGATATGGTTAAAAACAAAATAAAAATGGAGACTTCAGGTCATGGGAAATGCCAAGCATAAACTAAGCTGCTACACCAGGATTAGGACCAGCCCGTGTGGTGTGGGTGAGCTCAGGAGGCTCAAGTTTGGGAGGGTGGATGGCCCCGGGTCTGTCTGCAGCATACATGGCCTGTGATTCTCGGTTGGTAACACAAGGGGTGCTGCGGAGACTTGCTCCAGGCCAGAGGAATGGAAGATGAAAATAACTTTGGGGGCAGCCCACTTGGTCTTGGTGAAATAGGATTCTGCTACAAACTTACTCTGGGAAGGTCCAAACTGGGCTCTAGCACCTACCCATGTATCCCGCAGAGTTAAAACCCAGGACCATGTCCCCTGCAAAGGGACAGGCCGCTTACTTGCATATGAAGCCCCCGCTTTCGCACTTCCTCCTGGCATCGGTGTTTTCGGGGAACAGCAGCTCAGGGCGATGGAGCACGTCCACCAGCACAGACAGCTCTGCCTGCACCAGGGGCCGGAGCCGGTCCTCCAGCGCCGAGACGATGTCCTGGAACGGAAGCACAGCTGGTCAGCGGCCCTGCTGCAGGCTGTGCAAAGGGAGGGCAAGGACGCCTATTTCTGACTACGACATCACGCACAGGCTCGACTGGTTAGGCCAACTGCAGCACCGTCTGGCATTTGTCTCGAGTTATTAAAAAGTCCCCCAATGGTTACCTTAAGCATTAGCCTCCGGTGCAGAAAACAAAATTACTAAAAGAAGCTAAAATGCCCACCACCCCTACTTTTGAGATGGTCTTATGCTACTTTCTGGATCATTCCATATGCTTTGAAATAGGAGGCAAAAATAGATGTATTTCACACCATGGCAAGATGTCTGTGATATGAATATCAAAATGATTAAACGAAGTATGGACCACATGATCCTTTTTTTATAAACCATGTCCCTATCTACAGGCTATATAACAAGTCTGACTAAAACATGATGATGGCTTATTGCTGGCTAGTGGATTACAGGTGGTTCTAAGCATCTTCTAAATAATTAATACTTTCCAGTATTATCAAGTTATTTTACAATGAGTATGATTTACACATAGAAAAGTCATATACAGATGAGAACACAAATGAATGAACATGCTATATCAACATGCTAAATACATGTACCCTGATAGCATGATGGTCTTCAAATGCAAAACACATAGCTGTAGGAAAGGAAAACAGAGAGAGAAGTTGAAAGAGCAGCAAAAACAACACAACACACACCATATAAAGGCAAATGGCAGAAAACAGATGAGAAAATATCTTCAAAAGATGCTAAAGCCAGATATACGGCATGGTTTGTCTAAGACAGAGACCGAGCTTAGCACACCGGCTACTACAGGAGGACGTGGGCGACCGCAGAGATATGCAGGGAGCAGGCCCTTCAATCGCATTCTCTCTAGTGGCAGACCCAAAGGTCACAGGGAATGATCGATAATCAATTGCTTCGTCATTAACTTGGAAAATCAAATGAAAAATATATTAAGTTAATTTCACTCTACATTTAACAAAGTTGAGGAGATAACTATAGTCACACAATACTGTCTAAGATGAATGAAGAATAAATCAAATGTTGAATTGTGTATGGGTGGGGGGTACAACTTTCTGCATGACTGTGGACAGTACACTAATAGATTTGATGCTCACAGTATAGTAAAAATGAACGATTTTTAATAAATTCATCAGTTTCACCAGTATTTTCATCAGCTTCCTCTTTGGAAGCACACATCTTTCTCCTCTTCAGCCAGACTGGTCCTATATTGAGCGGTGCTATATTTGTATTCAGTGCAAACAGTTGTGCCACCACACTGGTATACTGCATAAAATCCTTCATCTTTTGCAAGACTTGAAGTTGCATTGCAATTGATTTGCATTGTATTGTCCAATGTCTGACATTCGGCAATCTGAGGCGGCCGACAGACAGACAAAGATGGGGAAGCAATGAGCAGGGGCAGTGCTCCCTAGTGTGAACTGAGCGGCCTCTGCACAGGGATTCATGATAGCAGACAACGTGCAAGCATCTGGTTTGCGAGGCAGGATACTTGCATTGCGCCAACTGTTGCTCTCCTGGGCAGTCTATAGCGACGAGACTCAGACAAGAAATTACTGGAGAATGAAGACCCTGTAAAGCCCCCGGGGCCAGTCACATGCATTTTATTTCACTCAAGAGGGTCCGTAACAAGTCCAAGAAAAGCCTAAGAAACGGGGGTGTTTGGTGGCAGAGTTTTTTAATTTTGCTTTAACTGGTAAGAAAACCCTGTGTTCACACGGCGCTGAGTCCAGAGTCCCTCCTCTTTCTAAACACATCGTGGAGTCAGAACCCTCTCTCATTAGGAGCCAAGGAGCCTTAGTGTACCAACTGTTTAGTGTATGAACCTCCCCAGCCACACTTAGCTTTCCTGGGCCACTACATGTGCTCTATTCTCTCTGTCCTAATGTCTTGCCACATACTCCCTCCCTCCCTCTTGATCTTTTCTGTGCTGTTGCTCACTGCTCTTGATGGTTTCCCAGCTTGGTCTGGAAGCTCTACCGATACCTGTTCAGCCTCACAGTGACACACATGCCTTCACAGGTAGATGGCACACTGGCTGGGAATCGAACACTGGATTCTTGCATGGAAGGTGAGATTTCTATCACTGAGCCACCTACTGCCTTCTTCCCTTTAAATGAGTGCATTTGTTCCTTCTAATCATGGTTCAAATGTCATTTCTCATCAGAGCCTTCCTTAATTGCCCTCCTCCAAAGTTCCACATTAGTTTCCTCATCAGAACTCCACATAGCCCGATGCTCCCCTCCAGCGTTTGTCCCTTCTGGCCCTATCCGTGAGCCACACTGATTGACACCTGTCTACCCTCCAGCACTTGAGATGCCAGGAAGCCAGAGAACCTTTCCTTTTTCTCACCACCCTGTCTCTACTGCCCAGCAGGGGGCAGAGGAGGGCACTGCTGAACTCATCTTCCTTAGGTTACTTCTACAACCTCCCAGAGGCTTGGTGATTACAGCTAATCATAACTGTTATTATAGCCACAGTTGTAACAACACAACAAATACAAGCTGTAATTTTCACAGCAGTCCCTGAACACTGCTATGCTAGTATATCCCAGTGTCCGCACCACAGACAGCCACAACAAATCTTGCACACTCTTCCTGACACCTGGCATTCCTCCTCGAGCCTGTGACTGCCTTGAGCAACTGAGTCTGGGCTCTCTGCAGAGATACGCATACTGGGAACCCGCCGTCATTTGTGAGGAAGCCCTGACCACATGAGGAGGTTCACTCAACCTCAGTTGGGATCCCAAGTGACAACTGGTATCAACTGCCCAACTTGAGAATGTTTCAAGATGAGTCCAAATAGTTATCACCCTACTGTAACCACAAAAGCAATCCTTAGCAAGATACACTGAGCTAAGTCAGTCTACCTCCAGAAGAGAAAAAGATAGTGCAGGAGTTTCAGAGTGATTTCTTACAGAGATGTAATTAACTGAAATGTGAACCAACTCTTTTGGTCCTCGCATATGCAATCCCACTAGGCGAGTTGCTACCATTATCCTCTTTTACAAACCAGGACACTACAGTCCAGAGGGATTAAGCAACTTCCTCAAGGCTACACTGTTTCTAAGCAGTTGAGTCCAGCTCTGAACCCAAGCCATATACCCTAAGACTACATTTCCCATCACCTATTGCACATTCGTCCTGACAACCTAGGATGCACAAACTGCAGCCTGGGAACTACTACCTATAAGAGAATAACGAGGGAGTGTGTTTGGAAAAGATGTCCATGTTAAGGGAGCTGTTCCAGTTTTGTACATTCATCTAATTCTTGATACTCTCCCCCTAACAAAGGGAGAGGCGGTCTCCTAGTAGGCACAAAGGATGAAAGGGTACAAGCTAACTGCGATTTCATAATGCTTTCGTTTCATTTGGCTCATCTGGACACAAAATCTCCTCTCCAGCATCATGATATTTGTTTACCTCCTAACTCAGGAGGCTAACCAGGGTCACGGTGGGAAAATGCAGCTCTATGTCCTTATTTTCAGCAGCCTCTAGCACCCCTTTGCATATCTCTTTCTAACAAGAACACATGCCCCATTCTTCATAAAGAAATCTGTAAATGGGGAAGCAACCTGCATAAAGCACAGCTTTGTCAGACTTCCTCTCCCTAAGCAGCCCCACTCACGGGCGTGTGCATGTATTGCTACTTCTGACTGTCCACTCACCACACTGACATCTCCCTGAGGCCAATCTCGGGAGCCCTGCTGTGTCCAGAAACCACCTGGAGCCAGGTAAGTGTGTTTGCTCAGCACTAGGTGTTACCTGCAGTCTTTCAATGATATTCCGGTAGTCTCTGGATGCAGCCAGAACAGAGTCTCTGCGAGCAGCATTGCGGGCCGACAGTCGCCAGTTCATGGCTGTTTTCTGCACAATGTTGTGGGACTTCAGAAAGAGGTTGTTGACTTGGCTGTCCAAGTCCACGGGGATGGCGATGGCCCGGCTCTTAGCTGCAGAGAGGAAGGTGCCTCATGAGCTGAGCATTCTGTGCGAAATGCTTTAGAGACAGACTTGATGTGGGAGGCCCAGCTGTCATTGAGAAAGCACTGGCTAAGGAGACCCCATGTATAACGGAATCAGACTGGGCTCTCCTAACTAACTCTTAGAAAGTAGATCACCAGGCCTTTCTTCCTGGTCCACGATAGTCTGGAAACACCACTGAAACCTGCTGGGTGTCCTAGCAACAAGCAGGCCCCCAGTGACCGGTGGACTGTGTAGCAAGGGAGGCCCACCACTAAACCATCACTGCCCCTAACAGTGTAACCTAAAAAGTGGGGAATTTAGAAAAAACAAAAACAATTATTATTTAAAAAAATACAAGCAGCACAGGATGCCCTGTCACAGCTAGAAACTAGGGCCCTTGGATATGCATTTCCAAACTAAGTAACAAAACTTAATGCTCAGAGTGAGTTATTTCAAATCATGGCAAGCCCACGTGTGGCCAGAGTTGAACTGTGATCCACAGGACTTTCAATGGCTAGCTTTCCAAATTAAACTGCCAGCTTTCTTCTGAGGCGGACTCAAACCCCCAACCTTTCGGTTATAGCAGTTGAGCACATTAACCAGCAGCACCCCTTATGGACTCTATTGGGTATAAGTAGAGGGATTTTTCTACCAGGCCCCTGATTCTGAGCTACCAGATCATGAACATATAGGAAACAAAACTTCAAAAGCCTTACAAAAATATCATTGCCAAATACTACCATATAAATAATACAAATATCTATCATATGCATCTACAATCTGGCAACAACCCTGACAAATACATTCATACTTGCCAAGCAGCCTCTAAAGAGAGCGAAGAGGCCCACTTGGTTTGGTTTCCCAGTTAAGGTCCAAATCTGCTGCTGTGGAGTTGATTGTGGCTCACAGCAAACCGATCAGACAGTAGAACTGCCCCGTGGTTTCCAAGGATGTAAATCTTTATGGAAGTAGATCTCGACTCCTACAGTGGTGGTAGCTTGACCCACTTACCTTTCTTTCCATTCGCAGCTGCAAGCTTAACCCTGGACATCCAGGAATCCTCAGACACTGTCTACAAAGGTCTAAGTAGCTTCTGCAAGTAAATGTCTTTCTTCTCCATTGTCAGTGGAAAGTTCACCCCTGGCATAGCATTTATGGGGAGAAAAAGACTAACGTGATAAAATTTGATAAAGTCAGGGTGAAGGAGCAGCAATTTCCATCACTTCATTTTAACGCTGCGTGGTGGCATAGTGGTTATGCATTGGGCTGCTAACCCCGAGGTCAGCAGTTCGAAACCCTGACACGCTCCCCATGATAAAGGAGAGGCTGGATACTGTCATAGAGAGTTACAGTCTCAGAAATGCACAAGAGCAGGTGTACCCTGTCCTACAGGATTTCAGGTCACTAAAGGTTGGAATTGATGACAGTGAGTTTATGAGAGATGGGGCATGGGCAGGGTGGAAACGGATAACTGTGTACTGATCAGATAAAGGGGGTTCCCCGAGAGAGCGGCAGGTGCTTTGCATGAAGAAGAGTTTTCATATACACTTGCTGGAGGAAACAAATACGTCTCCTAGACAAGGGCCTTCCCAGGGCCATGGATCGGGGGCAGCACTCGGACCTATCCAGAGTTACCTAACAGGTAACATGGAATCCTGCTTTTAAGGGCCTTCTTATTCTGTGACATCACTGGCTCTTTGGGAGAAAGTAGTCGAGGAGAAAGGGTTTGGGATCAAAAGACCTTGGCTCTCATGATCTGCAACATCCCAGCGCCCAAATCTGTGTGACCTAGGAAGTGTCGTGGATTATGTGTTGGGCTGCTAAGGGCAAGATGGGCAGTTCGAACCTATCAGCTGATCTGCAGGAGAAAGGTAGGCTGTCTGCTGACTTACGGAGCAGTTCCACCCCGTGCACTGGGGTCACGATGAGTCAGAGCCAACTCGAGGGTAGTGGGTTTGTTTCCTCTGGGTTATTCGTGTTAGGGGATTATCATGATGTTAAACCCAACCCACAATCTCTTACCTACGTCTGAGAGCACCCGGATACAGCTCTCCACAGAGGCTTTCTGGCTGGGCATCAGCCAGTTGCAGTGGTACACCCTGAACACACCTTGCAGCAGCTGCACAAAGACCGGCTGACGAGTCTGCAGGTACAAAGAGTGGGTTACTGAGGACAGATCAGGGGTCTTGCTGCTCTCAGCCACGGGCTAACGTATCCTTCAGCAGAGGTGGGGCAGGGCTGCTTGGTCAAGAGCTGGATTCCAGAGGTAGCCTGGCTAAGGAAGACAACCTCAGGAGCAGTTTAAGTCCTATTCATCACAAATGCGGTTTTATCTACCTAGACTTGACTACCCAGTTGAGCACTGCGCTCAAAGCCTGAAGACAGATTCACCTCCCGCAACCAACTTAGCTGTGTGACTCTGGGCAGTTCAGAACTCTTGGGAGTGTGTTGCTTTGGAAAAAAACCCTCGATAACATTCCCAACTCCCAGACAACGGTTTGTCTTTGCAATCCGGTGCCATCGGGTCAGCTGTGACTCACAGCAGTTCTATGCTGCCCCGCAGAATGAAGCACTGCCCAGTCCGCCCGTGTTTGAGGCCATTCTGGTAGCCACTGTGCCCATTCATCCAGTGGAGGGTCTTCCTCTTTTCCACTGACCCTCAAGTCGACCAAGCAGGAGGTCCTTCTCAGGGACTGGTCTCTCCTGTTCACATGCCCAGCATCCACCTCACCATCTTCACCGCCAAGGAGCACTCTGACAGCCCCTCTTCCAGGGCAGTCCTTAATTAAGCCTTGCCACGTTCCTCACCAACATTAGAATGCAAGCCCCTGAGTCCTCTGTCTTCCTTACTCGTGATCACATACATAGGAGGCGATTGAAAAGCTCATAACTTAGGCCAAGGGCACTTTAGTCCTCAAAGTGACAACTTTGATTTCGTCATTAAGCACCTCAAGACCTCTTCACGGCCAGCCAATAAGGCTGTGTGGTACCTGCACATTGCAGGATTGTCAATGAGTTGTCTTCTGATCCCAATGCAGTACTCAACTTCCCATATTTTGGTTTCTTGTATTATTTGCTCAGCATACAGAGGGGATGTGTAGGATGAAAAGATACATGAAAGGCCGAAGTGGCCGAGAAGAAGCTCCCCCGTACACATATTCCCTCTCCACTCCTTCCCAACGTTCCCCTGCAGGGGCTGCTCCAGTGGCCCACAGGGGGAGTTGGGCTGGTAGCTCAGGACACCATGCTTGGTACAGTGGAAGGACCGGGAGAAAAGGAAGGCATTTACATTAGTCTAGGTATAGCATTCAAAAAATGGATTGACACAGTGGCTGCCACCCGGAGCTCAAACCTAAGATCACCTGTGAGGAGGGTGGCGGTCCAGGCAGTGTGTCCTTCTGTGATCTGTAGGGTCACTGCGAGTCAGAATGGACTCAGCGGAGCTGACCAGCAGCAACTGTCCTCTGCTCTTGTCTCCTGAGGTTGCCTCGTAAATGAACTTTCATCCTTGTCTTAGACACTCATCTTAATATCCAATTTAAGAAAATCTCTAATTGAGTGACTGATGGGCTTGATAAGAGTCTCCCTTTGCTGAGCGTTGGTTTCAACTCGGCTGTAAAACAAGCCGGACTGGAACACAGTCACTGGAGTTCTCTCCAGATATTTCCTGAGAGTAGAATCAGCAAAATCCAACTGACAAGTGGGCCATGGCTCAATGCAGTTTGCTTCTGTGTTGGCAGCAATTTTGTCATGATGACAGAGACAGTTCTGACAGCTCTGCACTGGTGTTCATTCACGCACGATGGGTGAGCGTGTGGACGTTAACACTGGGGTAGGATTTAGGCCTCTCATTGAAGGCACACATCTGCAATCATTTCAAAGTAAGAGCCCTCAAACTTCTGCTTAATCAATTAGACATTGACTTTCTGACCTCATTTGAAAATTATAATGTTAGTCATCATCCCAAAGCTATCTAGATCTGGGCAGCTGGATCTGCAAGTAAAGATAATTCCAATTGATGAGCTCTTTCTGGTGAACTTTAATTTTGGAGGGAGAGACTGACCTAGTCCTTCCGAAAACCAAGTAGGGAGCTGATTCTTAGAGAATTTTAAAAAGCATTGAAAACCTCTCTGGAGAGGTTTCTGAGATAGTGGGGGTGGAAGTGGGAAGAAAGTGCTAGGGGGTGAAAAAGTGTTAGCAAGTCCTCACTTAAAATAACAACAGTAGCAGCAGCAGCAGCAGACAATAATAAATTACCAGAAACTCATCATTGTAAACAAACATTGTAAACATCATCATTCAGATAACTGTTATTTGTGAAATGCGTGTGGCGTGCCAGAAACTTTGACGCTTGCTCATGCTGGAGCCCCAATGACAATTGCATGACACAGGCATTCTCTCCACCCTGAAACAAAATGCAGAGGCCCAGGGAGGTTCAAAGAAAGAACCCAGAACAGTGGGTTGACATCAGGGCTTTGGATGCCAAAAGCCCATTTTCCTCCCACTGTGCCTCTTTCAGAGACAAGAAGGATCTTTTTCTTCCTTCAGGGAGCACTTTCTGTCCTGGTCCCCACAGCTATCCAAGTGCAGAGGACGGGAGCAGAGGGAGCCTGGGGAATGGGAATCCCTGGAGGTTGCCATGTGGATGAGCCCTAACTCCCAGCAACTTCTGAGGCAACACCAGTTCCTGAGCTAACTTCAGGGCCCAGAGTGAGCATCCTTTATGCCCTCATCAAGCCTTCAGTCTGGCAGGGAGGAGGAGTGCAAGCTGGCACTTGTTAATAACCACGCTCCGGCTGTGTATGACAGGAGCCCTCGTGGCACAGTGGCTAAGCACTCGGTGCAGGAGAGGGTTGGGAGAGTCTGGGCCTGTAAAGACCGCAGGTGCAGAAACCCCATGGTGCAGTTTTACTCTATCCTGGAGAGTCACAGTCACCTCGATGGCTTAGTGCAGGTGCTTCGTAACTATTGTCTCTGCTTTTGGAGTAAGTGGCAAAAAATACTGTTACATAACTACAAACATATACACACACATATAAACTCTGCTTCTTCCAAGGCTGAGAAGATTATCTCCAGGGGACATATAAGAAAAACAGCTCTGAAGTTTGGTGGCCAACACAGACCTGAGTATGGGCCCAACTCTGTCCTACCATGAAGCCTCTCCTCTTCCTTCCTCAGCTGTCATGTCCAGCTACTTCCTAGTCATTCCACTGGCTCCTTAATGCAATACAACCAAACCCATGCTCTCCATTTTCCCACGTCACAGATAAGGGAGAGTGGAACTAAAGCAACACAAGATAGAGAGCCTGAACAAAAGTATCCAATGTATTTCGTGAAATTCCTCTTAAAATATAAACCTAACAAAAAGCTTTGACTTTATCTTCTAAAATGTATGTATACACCCTGCATCTTTCCACAGCATCGAACATTGATGGTGAAGACTCGTTTCCCTGGTAACGTCAGCTTGATGTCAGGGTCAAAATCTGGTTCAGAGTAAGGAAGAATAGGAAGGAAAGATTCATTATCAAGACAAAAACCTGTCTGATTATTTTCCAATTAATTCGATGGATTGACTTTGCCACTTTGGGTTTGGCAATACCATCTCAAGATCTATTAGACAATGGGCATTGCCATGGTGATGGTCACTTCAATAACAGGAGATGTAAGTCCAACCCCCGTGACACTAAGCAGGGTTAGCAGATTAGTGAAGACTGCATTCTTGCCCGCAATAGCTCACATGCTTCTGACCTAACAAGCTCCCAGTTGGAAAATGCTATTAGTTGCAGATATTCTGAATGCAGCATGGTGGCAATACGGCATTTTAGTTCAACTTCTTAACTGAGTAAAAGATGACTATCGGTCTCCAGGAAAACACTGAAAGATTGAAGCTGATGATGATGATGATCTTACACTCACTCACTGCCATCTAGTGGATGCCAATTCACAGCGACACTATAGGACTGGGTAGACTTGGCCCTGTGGGTTTCCGAGACTCTAATTCTTTATGCGAGTAGACAGTCCCATCTTTCTCTCATGGAGCAGCTGGTGACTTTGAACTTCTGACCTTGTGGTCAAGTAGCACAAAGCATACCCACTATGTCACTAGGGTTCTGATGGTGGTGATAAGAGGAAAATTAAAACACAAAACTATTAACAACATGGAGTGTAGGGAAACATCCTGAGGCACACTTCCTTTCTCCACAGGCTTGTGCAGCAGCTGCCCCCCCCTCCCCCCCCACAGGAGAGAGTGTTGTTTGTAATGCGTTGCAGAAGGCTCCTGTCTCAAGTTCGTTCCAGCTCCCCCACAGCTGAAGACCAAGCCCCTTGGGTCTGCACTGTTACTCCTTACCTGTAGACTTGTACTCTGATCTGAGAAGGGTGAGCTGAAGAAAGTGGTGACGATACTCATGACGATTTCAGTCACGTACTTCTCCAGGATGGAGTCTGCGTGCTTCCTGTCACTCGTGTTGTTACAGGCCTGCAGGACAGTTGGACACGTCAGAGATGACCCCCAAACCTGCACAGCACGGGTGAACTGACACCCATGGCCTTTCCCATGTCCACGGACTGCCACTTTGGGTTTAGCCACACCATCAAATGAAAGGGAAAGGTCAGCATGGCTCCCCTGAAAAACTAGCTGCCATCGGCCGACACTGACTCATAGCAACCATACAGGACAGGGCAGAACTGCCTCTGTAATTTCCAAGAGGCATCTCTTTTTAAGAGTAGAAAGTACTGACTTTCTCCCATGGTTTCAAGTTGCTGACTTTGAAATTAGCAGTTGAATGCATAACCATTGTGGCCCCAGGACTTTCTCCCCTTAGGAGACAATTAAATCATGGGAAAAGAGAAACACATACACTCAGAAATCATGGCTGCAGAATCACACAACATTCTTGTGAGAGCTACAAGGCCATCACTTCTACCCAGGTGTACCAAGTCTAAATCCTCAGGAGGTGCTAAGAGGCAGGGGGCTTTAATACTCCCCTAAAGGTAAACTACCCTCTGCTTCATCAATTCATCTGGTGTAAGTCATGGGCAAGAGCCCATGTTAAACAGCAGATTGTAAACATACTAGTCAGGCAGGCAGATTATAGAAATCCTGGTCAGGCAGACAGATTGTATACATACTAGTCAGACAAACAGATTGTATACATCCTAGTCCAACAGATTGTAGACAGCCTAGTTAGGCAAGCAAATTTATATACATCCTAGTTAGGCAAGCAGATTGTATACATCCTGGTCAGGCAAGCAGATTGTATACATCCTGGTCAGGCAAGCAGATTGTATACATCCTGGTCAGGCAAGCAGATTGTACTACTGAAGTCCTTAGATGACATTCTATAGCATCCTTCCAATCAATAAAACATACTACTGATACACAGCACTTCAAAGAAATGGGCTGTGACTCAGAATAACTGAATATACACATTTGTGGGATGAGCAGAGATCTTAGATTTCACCTGTATTCTACTTAATTTTGCTGCTTAGAATAAGACTGGACAGGTCAGATTTAGAGAATATGTTATTTTTAAATCATGTTTTATTATCAGACTATCCCATTCTGAGCTCACTACTGGGCAGTTTGAAGGCACACCCACAGAATGAAATTTGTAACTAGCTATGTAGCATTACAAAACAATTTTATGTGATGGTTAATAACAGAAGGCCCAGCGACACAGCTCAGTGGTTGATTTCATAAACAAACTTTTATCGGAATAGAGTCATCCTCGTTCATGTACATATTGTTATGCTGATTTCTCACAGCAAGGGCAGAGGTAATTAGCTGGAACTGAGACCAGATATTCACAAGGCCAGAGACATATTTATTATGTGACTTTTTTTTTTCAGAAAAATGTTGTTGATGTCTGATTGAAAGCAGAGTAAGCCTCCCACTGTAAACCCTGAGATTTATGGGATTAAGAGACTGTGGAATTTGAGATGAAGTAACAATATGTCTATGGCACTCATGACCAAGTCCTGTCACACACAGTGCACAGGAAGAGGATCATTTCCTGCCGGTCCCTAGCCGGGCACTGGTAATTATAATGTCAGGCAGAAAATGCCACCTTTTATGATGGTATAAAGTGTGCTTTTTCTCCTCTTTAGCATCATCACATTTCTGAAACATTAATGTATCTCACAACTATTCTCTCAAGAACCTAGTCTCCTGCTCCCTCCCTAATTCTTCCACCAAAAACCTTAGATTAAACCCATGGTGTGTTGTGTTACATCATACCTCCTGCCTTGGGAGTACTACGCTCAAAGGCAAAACCAAAGTGAATATACTGAAGCCCACGTCGACGGCGGGGTCAGAATACAGACGAAAGAGTGATGCGCACTGTGCAATCCTACAGGAGAAAATAAACACTCACGTACAAGGAGGTGTCCTTTGAAGACAGGTTGTATTACCAAGGAAAATAAAACCTTGTCAATCTTATTTCACAAGCAATCCATAAAGGGTAAAATAAAAACCCAAAATAACATATCTTCCCTGAAACTTGATAACTAGAAAACTAGAATCTATTCTCGGCTAAGAGCAAAAAGTAGAAAGAACAAAAACTGCGAAAGAAATCAAAGTTCCAATCATACAACCATGTTCTCTCTCTTTCTCTCTCGTTAGCTCCAGAAAGCCTTACCCTGCAGATGTCCACAAGGAAATTTTCAAACAACTTCCACATGTGATTGCTGGTGTAAATCTCCTTCATTTCCACCTCAGTGTCTACATAGCAGTGATTCAGGAAGTTGATGTACGCAATCTTAACCTGGAAGACAGAATCGGGCTTTTCTGAGAGAAAAACTTGCCATGCATGGCATTGGTTACTGGCCTCATGTTAATACTGAAAATAGGCAAGATCGTTTTCCCACTGCCCTTCGCCAGTTCAATCTCTGTGGTTTTTATCTATATTCAAAAGCAGCAACTATGAAATTCAAAAGCACAAAGCATAAGGAGAGAATACTTTCACGACCCCAAGGTAAAGAATGACATAAACAACATGAATAGAGATCAAGATATTAAAATTTGACATAAGCATTTTAAAATTTTGGTTCATAAGAACACATCATTAAAAGAGCTAAATGACATTGCTTGATAAAAGATATGTGCAAGGGATCTAACCAAGAAAGAGTTCTTTCAGATTAATACAAATAAGATGGATCTCCCAATAAAAAAACTAGTCAAATAATTTGATCCAGTATTTTTAAATATATATATTTAAAATTTTTAATATTTTTATATATATATATAAAATATCCAATAAACCCATGCAAAAGGGATCAATCTTGTTTGGTCATCAATGGCTTTTTCTTTCTCACTGCCATTGAGTCAATCCCAACTCATAGCTACCCTATGGGACAGGGTGGAACTGCCACTATGGGTTTCTCAGACTGTAAATGGAGTGGAGAGCTCACCTTCCTCCCATCGAGCAGCTGGTTTCAAACTGCTGGCTTTTCAGTTAGCAGCTCAACACGGAACCCATGATGCCACCAGGGCTCCTAATCAACCGTGTGGAAACTAAAACCACTGTGAAATACCCAGAGTCCTGGGCACAATGTGGTAAGTCTTGGGCTACTAACCGCACAGTTGGCAGTGAAAAATAAGAGAAAAAGGAGGCTTTCTGCTCTGGCACAGATCTGCAGTCCCAGAACCCTATGAGCAGATCTCCTCTGAAGAGAAATTGGCTGATGGCAGTGGATACGAGATTCCTCCATGGTGGCTGGTGGCACGAATGGCTAACTATCCAGAGTGGCAGTCCAAAGCCACCCAGAAGTGCCTCAGAAGAGAGACGTGGCTTTCTGCTTACAAAAGGTCAAAGCTATGAGAAGCCTATGAAGTGCAGTTCTTTTCTGACGCACACAGAATCTCGCAGAACCACACCGATTCAAAGCAATGAACAACATGAAATACCACGACACCCCCAGGACTCACTGCCATGGAGTGGATGCTGACGTGGAACGACCCATAGGGCAGGCTAGAACTGCCCTGCAGGGCCAGGAGAATGAATGTGGAATCTCCTTATGGACTGCTGTGGTAAGAAAATAGCGGTTTCCACACAGCACAGCATACTGACAGGGCTACCTTGTGTTAAAAAGAGGGCGAGGGGAGATGTATTATGTGTTTATATGCAAACTACTATAAATATATATAAGAATAAAGTATTTTAAATAGGGGGGACAAATTCAATTTTTTATGGTTTAACACATTATGCCCAAACCACTGCCCGAGTCATCGAGGACGCCTGGCAACCCTCAGTAAAGTAGAAATGCCCCCCAGGGCTTCCACACGGTAACTCTTTATGGAAGCAAACTGCCTTATCTTTCCCATGAAGAGCTGCTGGGAGTGTGAACCACCCATCTTTTGGTTAGCAGCAGAGTGCTTAACCATTGTGCCACGAAGGCTCCTCTAGTCAGTTATGGTTTTTGATATTTGAACCATGTGATTGTATTAATTTTTAAAAATTATAATATAAAAATGTACTACATAGATTCAATGTTATATATACACACACATATATACCAATATATTTACAGTTTGATAGTTTAAAATATAAAGATTCATATCATAAAATATACAAGAATAAACTACAAACTGTATGATTAGTATTTCATTATTAAATAATATGGAAAAAAGAAAGCTTAATAGAAAAAAAAGCTTGGAGGAATTTTTTAAATATACAATGGGATATTACTGAAGCATAAAGAACAAGGGAATGCATGCAGTGACATGAATGAGCTTTGAAAAATTATGCGAAGGGCAGTAAGTCAGACACAAAAGCTCCAATCTCGCAGGGCTCCCAACGCTGAGAAAACGTTGATTAGTGACCCTTGGACACTCAGGGAGAATGGCTGAAGGGCAATGAGTTTCTAGTTGGTAGGATGAAAAACTTTGGGAATGGGTAATTCCCAACGTGGCAAGTGTATTTAATGTCACTGAATTTTGCATTAAAAAAAATAATTAAAATGGCTAACATTAAAAAGAGCTGATACCAAGGGCTCAATAGAAAGTAAATGTCTGGGCCTCCACTCAAGTACTCCCTCAAAGCAAGAATACTTTCTTCTATTAAATTGGCA